TTCATAAGGAAAAGTTATTTCAAAAAATAGTTATAATTTTCTTGTGATTTATTTTATATTTGGGAGAGAGAGACAGAGTGCAAGCAGGAGAGGGGCAGAGAGAAAGGGGGACAGAGAATCTGAAGCAGGTTCCAGGCTCCAAGCTGTCAGCATAGAACCCAACACAGGGCTCAAACTCACCAACCAACCACAAGATCATGACCTGAGCTGAAGTCGGAAACCTAACCAACTGAGCCACCCAGGCGCTCCTCAATAAATAGTTATAGATCAGCTGAGTATGTGTTTGGAAAAACTAAACATCTATTCTTACTTCACATCATACCCAAAAATTAACTCAAAAGAAAGTCATGGCCTATGTGTAAACCTAAAATCAAAAACTTCTAGAAGAAAACACAGAAGAAAATCTTTGCAACCTTGGATTAAACAAGATTTCTTAAATGGGACACCAAAACCACAAACCAAAAAAGAAAAATAGAAAACTGGATTTGATAAAAATGTAAAACTTTTGTTTTTTATAAGGTGCCATTAAGAAGGTGAAAAGGCAAGCAAGCCACACACTGGGAGAAAATATTCACAACATTTATCAAAGGATTTTTACATGGTATTTATAAACAACTCTCACAATTCAATAATATGAAGCCCAATCACCCAGTTTTTTAAATGGACAAACTATTTGAACAGACAATTAACCAAAGATACACAGATGGCCAATAGGCACATGAAAAGATACTCATCATCATTAGTTATCAGGGAAATTCAAATTAAAACCACAATGAGATACCATTGTACATCCACTGGAGTAGCTCAAATGAGAAAGACTGAGCATGTGAAATGATAGCAAGGATATGGAATAACCAAAATTCTCCTACATTCCTGCTTGGAATGTAAAATGGTACAATCAACTTGGAATATATTTTTATAATTTCTTAAAAAGTTAAAAATATACCTATCACAAGACCAAGGCATTCTACTCCTGCACATTTAGCCAAAAGAAACTAAGACATCTTTCTCCACAAAGACCAGTACATGAATGTTCTTCACAGCTTTTTTTATGATAGCCCCAAACTGGAAATAACCCAAATGTCCATCAACAAATAAACAGGATGAACAAACTGCCATATATCTACACAAAGGATTACAACCCAGCAATAAAAAAGGAATACTCTATTGAGGCATAAAATAACATGGAAGAATCCAAAAACCATTATGTGGAATGAAAAATTCAGGCCAAAAAGAGTACACTACATAAAGTAATCATTAGTGACAGAAAGGAAATCAGTGGCTGACTGGGGAAAGGTGTGGAGGGAGACATGGATTACAAAAGGTATAGAGGAAACTTTTGAGAATGATGGAAATGTCTGTTACATTAACTGTGGTGGTTACATGGATGTATATGTAGTCAAAACTGTTCCAATGTGCAGTTCAAATATGTGCATTGTACTGGACTTCAATTGCATCTCAATAAAAGTGTAACAAAAATAAGAGAAGGGGAGGGAAAATCCAACTTATTGACAAAGTGAACAAGTAGTTCAATGCTTCCAGCCATAGGGCGAACTGGACAACCTAGTCATCTCACTGCAAAACAATTAGAAATGATTGGTAAATTATTAACAAATATCCTCTTTAAGTGTGTACTGACCTCACTAAAAAGAAAGACACCCAAGTTTAGTCTACCCTGAGTCGGGGGAGAGGATCCTGGTCCCTTAAGCAAGGGGCTTTGGTTTAGACAGTCACTCACAGACAGGAAGTTGGCTTCGATTTCGGACTGAGACCGCCCCATATTCCCGAAAGCAATGAAGGGCTAACACCCTTAGTAAAAGGTTGTTCCAGGGAAAGCATTCTACTTGTAAGCCCAGGATGAGAATAAGGAAGCTCTTCTGCTTTGCAAAAAGTCTTCTCTGAGAACATGGCTATCCTTATATGGGCTCAGGATTTGAATGTATACCATGTCTACAGTTAGGTAAGCCAAAGTAATTAATCTAAAAGGTAGTGCTGGCCAGCCCAGTGGAAAAAGCATGTGACTCTTGATCTCAGGGTTATGAATTCAAGCCCCACATTGAGTTTAGAGATTACTAAAAATAAATAAAAGCTTTTTTTTATTAAAAAAATAAAATGTGGCCTAGGCTGAAAATGTCCCTGAAGCACCTGAAAGGAAAGAAACAAAACTTCTCTGTATGGTAAAATCCTGAATCAGCCTCAGGATGCATCTAATAATACCCCACTGGAAGTGAGCTCACAATACAAAATAACAAAATACATTAGAAACCTAGAAAGGCAATATGTGTGCAAATGTATAGCACTTTTGTTACTAAGTAGTAGAATTCTTCTAAGCAGAGCAAACAAGCAGGCCATAAAATCTGGTGCCTTCTCAGTGAGGACACTTAGAACCCCATTAAAAAGAATTGGGAATTCTATCTACTATTACAGGCCCATGAAATGAAGGAAGCAAGTTACGGAATAATACGTTGAGACTTCACTTTGAGGGAAAAAATATAAAGATTATATCTTTTTATGTGCATACAAGACAATACGGAAATATATATACCAAACTTGCTGGAGTAGGACTTGAGGAGGATTAACAGAAAAGAATTTAAACACCTGTGCTTTGTTCAGATATATATTTTCTTTTTTGACAATGAGTGTTTGTAATTTATTTCAATAAAGGAAAATAAAGAGATTTTTGTGTTTGTTCCTAACAGTGGCAGCTATTTTGTCTGAAACTAACAGGCAAAACCCAATTTTCCAAGTGCAGTACAACGGCTGGGTACGGAGAAGTCAAGCAGTAGAGAGGAGGACAAGCCTAGGGTTCTTTGAAAATCCTGTTTTTCACGCTTCTCTTCCTTTGGCGTCCTGTCATCTCAAGTGTAATTATTCAGAAGCTGGTTTTCAGAAAGCATCCCCTTCCAAGAATAATGTTCATTGAAAACAACTTGGAAATGATTCAAGAACTGACTGCAGGTCACAGTTGCCTTATGCAATAAACTTTACAGCCTTCCCCCAAAGAGGTCGGATCATAGCAATTAGAAAAGATGGTGAGACCATCCCCTTGCTTGTGCTTGGCTTAAATTTAATCAGGTAGCCAAATTCTAGTCTAAGCGGAATGATTCCATAAAAATATAGGAATACTACAAGACTAACGACATTTTGAGGAATTGAGTTGTCTTGAGAGGTCTTGCTAAAAAGACGTCTTGTGTAAAAAAAGATACCTTACCTTTATAAGCCATGGAGAATCACTTGCTATGTTCCAAAGTTAAAAACCTTCTTAGAGATAAAAGGCATATAAAGCATTTCTAAGACAAAATTTAAAAATCGGTTAAGGAATTTTTGTCACATTGACATTTAGCATCTGAAAAACTGAGTACAGTTCATAATAAACATAAGAATTAGGAGACTGAGAGGATTCTAGTTTCCTTTTAACAAGATTTATCCTCCCATTGGCCAAATTTTGGGACATGTTGAACGTCAAAAATAAACTGTAACTATGACTGTAAGACATCAAATGAATCTATGAGTCCACTGTGATATTCAAAAAAGAAAAGGGGAATGTTGTAGAGCGTTAGCTAATAAAGCTAGAGGGAAAGAGATCTAGAAAACCACCATTTTGAATCCCCAAGGCAATAACTGGTTCTGGCAAGGATCAGCAGTGTCCACTAAATCCGTTAAGTAGAATATCCATACAATATGGAAGAATCACCCACAAATAGGAACCATTTGCAAAGAGGAAAAAAGCCTTTATAATGGAGAAATCTCTGCTCACCAATTTAACCAAGGGACTCTTAAATTCAGTACTAGTACAGCGACCTGGTATTGTTTCCTAACGTGAAGCAGTGAAAACACAGAAGATCACTAGTGAGATCTTCTTGCCAATAATATTTAACCTGAATCCAATCAAGCCTTACATGGTTTATAGGAAATAAAAGGACTAGATGTTAAAAAGACAGCATCAGGAAACAACCATATCCACAATGTGGGCCCTTCTGCAAGACAACTGTCCTGACTTTAAAAGCCCAATGTCATGCTCGCTTCAACAGCACATATACTAAAAGCCCAATGTCATTTCTAAGAAATGTGGGGAGATTATTCTAAATTAAAGACTAGCGATCTAAAATCAAATGCAATATACTCATCAAATCCTGGCTGGGAAAAAAAAGGAGGAAGTTACTGTTAAAAAATTCTGAAACAAACTGGAAAATTTGAATAGAAATTAAATATTCGATGATATTAAGAATTATTGTCAGTTTTCCTTGTGTGATCATGACATTGTAGTTATATACAGAAGAATTTCCATATTCATAGGAAATACATGCTTAAGCTTCTAGAGATGAAATATCATGATGCTTGAAATTTACTTTAAAATAATAGAGTAGTACAGTGGAAAGAAGATTGCCAAAATCTGTCTTGGACCTTTAAAACCAAGCAATATGTGTATTTATTCATTTTTATTGAGAGAGAGCAGATGAGAGGTCAGAGGCAGAGAGAGAGAGAGAGAGAGAGGGAGAGAGAAAATCCCAAGCAGGCGCCACGCTCAGCTCAGAGCCCAATGCGCTTGATCTTGGGACCAGGAGTTCACAGCCTGAGCCGATATCAAGAGTCAGTCAGTTCTAAGCCACCCTGGCACCCCTACCTTAACTATTCTAAAGAAGTTGTTTGCTTTTCCTCATTGGTTTACTCACATTCATTCAAAGACTACACCCAAAACCTGCTTTAATTATTGCAAATATTCTAATGCTAGAATAGAAATAGAAACCCCCAAATCAGCAGCACAAGATTTAGATGTGTAACTGGTTTTAGACCCAAATAACAAGCTTAACAGCAGTAAAACAAATTGTTTATTACAGCATATAATGTGTTATATTAAATTTACACAACGATATATAAAAACACACACTGTTTATATCAAACAGTAATTTAACATCAATAGAAATATCAAAAACAAATACTACTCATGCACAAAACATGCATATATTGGTATAAAAAACAATTTTACACAATACTGTTTACCAAAAAGAATTTTTTTTTTTTTTTAAAAAGCCCTTCCAGACAGGGTCAGTGGTCCAATCTGGACTGGATTGCACTAATATGTTTGGGCCAATGCTTAGGCGGCACAGTGCTCAGTGAGCAATTCTGGGCTTGAAGTCCCACTCAAAGTTTATTTCATTAGAAGTGAATTTCTCAGTACCCAAGGACCAAAATGTTATCCCAAAGGCAAGACTTTCCAGGAAGAAATGGCTGGATCTGCTGCAAATGAGAGAAGAGGAGAAAGGCATCAAAATGTTGACTAATCGGCCCTTTATAAAAGGGTTACCGTAACCAGGGCCTAGGCACCAAGTGTGGCAAAAGTTTTAGTGAATCCTTTGAAGGTTATTACCAGCCTCCCTTATCCAGGTCACCTGCTCTGGATCTCGGGTCTGGTCTTCAAGTTCTGAGTCCAGTAAACCAAACAGTTCCGGGAAGAAAACGGAATGGGGTTACAGCCAAGAAAGGAAGACGATATAAAAAATTACAGAAAACCATGACCGGCCGTCGTACCTACTTCACACAATCGTATGCGATGCCCCTCAACCGGGAAAACCCTCGTGGAGACCCTGTCCTAAAGGACCAAGAACCAAATGTATGTCCTAAATCCCATCCACCTGACCTTCAGGGTCAAAAGTCATCTGAATCTCACCCCAGTTACGACCTGAACATCGAAACCTGTGCCTTCACAGATGCTCAGAGAATTTCAAATAAAAATCACCTGATACCACAAAACTCGTTCACTACTACCACCAGTAAAACTCAGTATTTACTGCTAACCAGCAAAACATTCTTTACCTTCCATTAAAGGCACTAGTGTCCCTACACGATGAAGACGAGACATAATTTACCTCAACAAAAGGAAAAGCATTCCATGAAACTGTCACACAGAAACAATCAGCCGCCACCTTTTTTTCCTGGGTAACTAGACAACAGCCCATTCTCCCCGCCAAGGATGTTCCTTAAACGGTCGTCATCAGTTTCAGGGAGCCGGACCGAAAGCGGAGGATTTTCTTCTTGAGGTTATGCGAAGCCTTGATTTTGACAAAGGTTTTCGTGGGGTTGCTGTGGAGGTCTGGGCCCGCGACCGCCTGGATGGGGAGAGTCTGCACAAACTGGGACCAGATCAGGCCGCCGCTCTCCTCGGAGTCACTGGAGCTGGTGCTGTCGCCCGCGAACTCCCCCTCGCTCACGCTGGACTCGCTGTCCCCGAAGCAGTTGGTGGTGTAGTTGCTGCGCTCGTCCTCGCTGGTGTCCAGCACGGTGGAGTGGAAGAGCGACTCGCACTCGGCCGAGTACTCCGAGTCGCTGGCCACGTAGGCGTAGGGGCTGGCGTAGGGCAGCGGCACGGCGGCGGGGTACAGCCCCACGTGCTCGCGCCGGCCGCGCCGCGACCGCCGCAGGGCCTCTTCCAGCGAAACCTCGGCGGCCGAGCGCCAGCGCCGCGAGTCGGTTCGCTTGTGCTTGGGCTTGGCCACCAACGCCTCCCGGCCGTGGCCGTGCGCCCGGCACCCGGCCCTGTGGCCCCCACCCGGCGGCCGGCTGGGGAGACCCGCCTCGGGCTGGCCGCCCCCGCCCTTCCGGCCGCGCGACGAGGCCTTCCTGAGTTTCTTATTTGTATCCACGTCGTCGGGGAACCGGCACTTCTTGCCGGCCGCGCGGCTCTTCTCCCTCACGGGAGGCAGCACGCCGTCCGGCCCGTGGAGAGCCTGGGCCCGGTGCTTCGCGCCGCAGCCCCGCGGGCCGGCCGCCGTCCGGGCGCCGCGGTGGGGCCGGCCGCTCGGCTGCGGGCCCGGGCCCGACGGCGCCTTCCCCGGGGGCGCCTCCTCCAGGCTCTGCGAGGAGGAGCCCTCGCTCTTGAAATCGAGCGCGGGCCGCTCCTCCCCCGCGAAGGCCGCAGCCAGCAGCGCGGCGGGGGCCGCAGGGGGCGCTGCCGGAGGCGCAGGCTGCAGGCCGCCTTTCTGGGGCAGCTTTTTCAGCAGCTGCCCGGCTTTGTTCTCCTGCGGCGGGGCCGGGCCCCTCCCGGGGCTCTCCTTCGGCGGGGCGGCGAGGACCGGAATGCTGTCTCTGGGGGGCTCCCCGGTCCCAGCGGTGGGGCCCCGGGCGTGTTCCTGCGAAGCTGGCCTGGCGTTCTTGGGCACCTGCTTACTCGGAAGGTCAGTGGCGGCGCCCTCGGGCGGGGCCGACCTCTTGCTTTCCATCTGTTCTGCCTTTGATTCTTTCGACCACTGCTTCGGTGGGGAGAATGTCCCACTGTCCAAAGAGGGCATTCCGCCAGGGGCCAAAAGCACCTGTTTAGGATTCTTAAGGTTCCCGCTGCTGCCCTGCGAGACGCCCCCCGTCGCTCTGACACAAACGCTCCCGTTCCTCAGAAGCCCCTTCGTGGGGTCGGCGTTCACACTGGTTCTTGGTTTGTTGGTCCTTACGGGGTGTGTTTTTTTCTGGACCAGGCTCAGAATGTAGCCATCCATCTTCTTACTGGACGAAGGATGGGGAGCAGACCACAAACTGCTTGGAGACGGCAAGGAAGGGTCTGTCTTGATGGCGTCCAGCTCAGATCCATCACACATGTCACCGGCATGGTTGCCAAGCCTCTCCTCTTCCCTCAGAGGGTTGCCCGTCAGGCAGAGGAGAAACATGGGGCTCTGCACGGCCACGGCGTGAAGAGGACTGGGGTAGCGATACACATCATTCCCGTTTTTAGACACCAGATCACACTGGTACTTGGGATGCACATCTGCAATGACACCAAGGGAATTAAATTGTGATGTGGAGGGGGAATGGCAAACTGCCCCTGAGGCCTGGTCTTCACAGCGGCCTTCTTTATATTCCAACCGTCCTATGAGATCTGAAAAACATTTAAAGGTACACTCTGAAGAAATGAATTGGTCAGCACCAGCTTGACTGAGGCCAGTTTCTATGAAAACACATTCATGGGGAGAGAGAGAATGCTAAAGAATCAATCCTACAAGCTGCTGCCGTATTTTACATACAGCCCATAGTACTGGATGAGGGAAACAAATATTTAACAAAAATACTTGTAACAAGATACGATACATCCTCTGAAGGAAAAATATTCAGTCATTAAAAATACTTTCAAACTAAAGGAGCGCCTGGGTGGCTCAGTTGGTTGAGCATCCGACTTCAGCTCAGGTCATGATCTCGCAGTCTTAGTTCAAGGCCCACGTTGGGCTCTGTGCTGACATCCTGGAGCCCGCTCTGGATTCTGTGTCTCCCTCTCTCTCTGCCCCATCCCCGCTTGCGCTCTCTTTCTGTCTCTCAAAAATGAATAAATGTTAAAAAAAATTTTAGTGCATTCAAATTTGAATATTTAATGTATTCAAATAATATGGGGAATATGCTTTAAAGGTTCATGAAAAGCATGATATAATACCAGACTATGATTATGATTTTAGTCAGACTGTATATATGTGAAGAAAAAATTCTGAGATGAAGCACCCCAAGATGCCAATAGTAGCGTTGCCGTGTAGTGAGGAAGCAAGTGAGATTTACTTTCTTCTTTATTTTCTAAATTCTAAGTATGCACTGTATTTATAACTGGAAAAAGAAACATTTTTTGAGTCATTCTTTGTATGCTACCCTCTGTGTTCTATTCCTGGTTTCCTCTTGAAGTACTGCAGATAAACTCTACTTTCTCTAAGCTTTCTCTTCATTTTCTGTTTTTTTAAACCCAATTCATTTTTTTAAAATTTGTAATGGTTTTCTTTTTGGAAAGAGAGAGACAGAGTATGAGTGGGGGACAGGCAGAGAGAAAGGGAGACACAGAATCCAAAGCAGGCTCCAGGCTCTGAGCTGTCAGCACAGAGCCTGATGTGAGGTTTGAACTCATGAACCATGAGATCATGACCTGAGCTGAAGTCAGTTGCTTAACCAACTGAGCCATCCAGGTGCCCCTAGACCCAATTCTTACTGACATATGTTCAAGTATAACTGTCAATTGAAAAGTCAAAGGAACTGATCGAATTTTATTTGGAGAGTAACTAAATGTAAATAATAATCACTCTATATTTTCAAGAATGACACTAAAAAAAAGACAATGTTTTTTAAGCGGGAAGGAATCCTTGATAAGGTTTTAAGAGATTGAGCCGTAGGATTAATGAATAAATTTTCCACATCTTAAAAAAGTAGATGCCAAAATACAATGAAATCAAGCTTTCTTGCTGAATTAAATGATTTTTATGTCTTTCCTTGATGACTATTATAAACATCAAATCCCTTTAATGAACTTTAGAGAAAATCAAAGTTTTTATAGCTATTTAAGATATCCTGTATTATATTTATTCACTCAAATACTGAAAACTTACTATGTGCCAGATTCTATGCAAATTATTTAAGTTAAGGGAAAGCTCCATGACCTTCAATGACAATTAGCAGTCCTGAGGAAAAATACAGTCTGGACCTAGTAATGACATGATTCATTTGTAAAGAAAAGATAATTATCATATAAAAAGTGCTGTGTCCCTCTCCCCCACCTCCACTCCCAATAGCTTATTGCAACAAGGGGAAGAAACCTTTCTAGCTAGTATCATTGCCCATCTTTCCTCCTCTACTACCATATCTTCACCCTACTTAAAGCACTGCCCTACATTTACCCACACTTTACTATTCTGTCCCTTTTTACTACTTACAGTTAAGGAACAAGACAGACATCTCAGTCTTCAAGGCCCAGTACAACTGCCTCAATTATGTCAAGAACTGGCATTTGGGAGATCAGGGGTCTGTCTTCAAGGAAAACCTATACCAAACGCCTTTAATGGGTTTTAAAGTTCCCCTCTGAAACCAGATCTGCAGAGTGAAGGGGAGCAATTACCAGTGAACTTGAGGCCTAGACACTCCAGATAACACAGATGTGTGCTTCCCCAAATGAGTGCTGCTGACAGCACAATGTACAAACACAGAGACACCAATTAGCAGCCTCGGTTGTTTGGCGTTAGGTTTGCACTGCTTGGATCTCAAAAGTTCAGCCTTACACCCAAGTGGAGAACACAGACGAAGCAAGAGTGCAGTGACCTGTGCTATAGCACCTACAGCCCTCCAAGATCTTCTCTGCTCTTCTGAGGAATCACAGTAAAGTAGAACTGAAAAAGGAGTCCCTAGTTTCAGCAACAATTCTGCCATTCAGAAAATGAGGAGCCTCTTACGAACTGTTTTACGAAACCAAACGCCTCCTCTGTTCAATGAGAAGGTTGAACACAGAAATTTCTGAATTCCCTTAGTGTGGTAGAAAAACACGGCCCTGACAGCTGGTCCTGAGCTTGAATCCTGCCTCTGCCACTCACTAGAACCTAACCTTAAACAATGAACCTGCCAACCTAACTAGCCCTCATTTTTCTGACATATAAATGGGAGCTAACAATACTTGCACCCCTGCAGAACTATTGAGAGGATTCAAAGGAGAGAAATACATGCAGAGCATCCAATACGGTGTTTGACACCTAGCGGAAATGCAGAAACTTCCAATACCCACAAAAGCAGGACTCTCTCCCGAGGTCACTGCAAGGATAGCCCAAAGTGGGGGGACAATGGCACACGGCCCACTGGAATCTCATCTCACCCACCTGCGAAAAAAGACAGCTGCCATCATGCAAGACATTCTGGAGAACAGGGAGGGAACCACTGCTCCCTGGAGTGCCAAGCGGTCTGACATGACAGGTATATTTGCCTTAGTGTAAGCTTTAGCTTTAAATGATTAAAAAAAAGAGAGAGAGAAAGAAAAAAAGAGATCCAAAGTGGCTTTCCAAAGAAACGCAAACAAGTTAAACTCCCAGCAAAGGCTCACAAACAGAGCTCAAGACCTGTAATGTTGGGACAGGATTCCTAAAGAGAAGCGGTCTTGCTACCATCAGAATGTAAAGCCAGGTCATGAAATGTAGCAAGTCGATGAAATTCTCTGACCTTTTGTTTTTCCATTGGTAGAAGGGGTTAAAGCTAGATAATCGTTAAGGGCCTTTGACCCTTTCCAGTTGAAAACGTCTATCAATTCTAAAAAGTCTTACCTGCAGATTTGGGGCAACCATCTGAGATAGTCAAGGTTGCCTCCAAGGGGCTGCAAAAGCAGGAGCTGGAATGACAACTGGATAAACACTCACTGAAGACCGAGTTAGAGGAATTGGAAAGGGATCCTGAAGCCCCATCACTCAGCTCATAAAACCCTACAAATAAAAACACCATTTGGAATTAAGACCATGTCAAGTAATAGCATACATTTGTGCTTAAAAGGAAAAGGATTAATCATCTAGAAAAGGTAGGAAAGGGACACTTTGGTGGAGTGGGGGAGCAATTTTGGTTCACTGGACTTAGTGTTGCGGTTGTATGGTTTTATTTCAAGTAATCCTTAGGAAAAGGCAAAGAGCCCGTATCGACGGGTACATTTCAAAGCTATTCTCACCCTCAAACTGACCTTCCTCTTTGACCCCACCTTTAAAGATGTGCAAGGAGAGAGACTTAGATCCATCAAAGCCTCAACTTTATCATGAATGTTTCAGAAAGAATAATTTGAAGGAAAAAAAACAAATCTATTTAAGGAGCCAAATGGCTTAAAAGAAAAAAAAAAAAACTTTTGAAGTGGTCTCAGGAAGTTGAAGTGTGACTAATTTTCTAGCCCAGTTCGGACTTTCTCAAGTTTCAAAGGAGGCCTGCTCTTCCAGAAATTTGAATAGAAGCTTTTATTTTTAAACTCAGGGGACTCCAGTCAGATCAGTCTCATTATTAAAAATTTGGTCGGTCATCTGGTTTTATTTCCCTCTCATACAACTGAATGGCAGACTGCTTTTTTTTTTTTAATTCTCTCTGCGCTAGAAACAAACGCCATTGCCTTGTGCAGGTCTGGGAATGTTAAACACGGTGGCCTGAAGTAGAACTTGAGTGCAGGCTTCTGTCCTAGCGTCTCGCACTCACCGGAGCTGGGCCGACTGTCTGTCTCCAGGTGCTCTTCAGACGTCTTTTCTACATCCAGTCTCAGGTCACTTATCTGCTTGTCTAGTTCCTGCAACTGATTCAGCAAACCAGCATCTCTTCTCCTCAAACAATTCTGATTGGGAAAAAACAAAAAAAGGAAAAATGAACTCATTTTGGTGACAAGGAACCAGCAAGTCTGCTCTGGGTATTCAAATTACCATTTGAAGAGTTCACGAAATCTTCCAAAACCAAAATTATTACTGGAGGACCTGAAATTTTAAAAAGGAAAAAAAAAAACCTTCAAGAATACGTCCTATGTTTAATTTCACTATCTTACCTTTTGGGGTACTAGAAAGTTTCTTCATAAAAACAGGACTTGCTTTTTGTTTCAACTGATATATGCAAACTCACTTTGTACAGGTAAAGATAAGAAAACACAGTGTGATTCTTTTAAACCCTCTGTGTACACCCAATGTCTTACAAAACAGTGCTTCACAGCAGACGCTTTAATTTGAAGTCAGAGTGTAACAGATTTCCTACAATACACTATACTCTTACCAAGGTGAGATTTTCTGGCCAAATGTCCTGCAGAGTTTTGTCTTCTATTAGTTGCTTTGTGGGGTTTAATCAGTCTTAGGGCCTTTGAAAGTGAGAAACTAATACTAATAGCCAGTGCCAAGTATAATGTGAGCTAGCAAAATCCAAAACCCTCAAGGGAAGGTCCATCAAGATTTGAACTCAACTCAGGTTTCCAAAGATGACAGATCTGTAGTGCTAACTCACACCGCCACCTAGCGCTTCCTATTGCTGGAAAAGCAAAAGAACGAGAAAGGCATCTGGTTCAAATCATGAATGCCAAGTCTACAAATGAAAATAGTACCATGAACACTGACTGGACTGAAATTCTCCTGACATGCTGTCTTGCTCCCCTCCAGGGGACAACAGGAATGTGCCACTCACAATCTTGAGATTCGTGAAGACAAAAAGGTGCTATTGTAAAAGACAATGCACCAAATGTCAATGACCAGGCATCACCAGCAAGAACGGAGTCAAACCAATGTTACTGCAAATCTGGTCTGCTACCAAAGAAACAGTAAAATGCCAAATGGGTATTGTACAAACCAGGATACATCCTTTAAAAATAGATACAACTGGGATGTCTATTCCTCCTGTCTGTCCTTTGATTTAAAAAGCTTGTAGACAAAAACCATATATGCCTGTTTGCCAGAATGAGTTTCTTCAAGAAAAATGAACCCAAGTAAAAGTACTTTGATGCTGAGAGACAGAGAGAGGGAGAGACTGGAAAGAGAGAAGTTATCTGAAAAGAGATAATACAAGAAACCCTTCGACAAATAACCACACAGCATCACTATGTTCGCTATTGGAGAAGGAGGGACATTATCTAGCATGTGTCTAGTTTCAGAGTGTATCACATGGTCAGAAAAAGATTCTCTTTTTCCCTCTGTCTCCAAAACTACATTTTTGAGGTCACCATAACAAAGCTGCCGCCATTATTCTGAGGCGGGGTCAAAAGCTGTTCATCAATACATTAAGCGCCAAAGTTCTTTTCCTTCCCCATGAACGAAGATGGCATAGGACTGGGACACTGACGGAAATCCAGTAAAAGAGAAATGCTAAGAGCAGCTTCCCTCTTCTTCCCCCTCCACCACCAGTCACATAAAATACGAGAGGACGGGGCACTCTTCTCCAGCCAAATTTCTATCCTTTGCATCTGTGTTCGCTGCCTCATACAAAAGGCTTCTATATATGAAATGAAGCAGCAACGCAGGCAAAAGCTGGCGTGCGGGGCAGCGCCCTGGGAGGGGCAGGGCTCCCTACGTGCGCTTCCGCGGAATCGTAAAATTCAGCGCTGGACAGTTAACCTCGCCCCACGCCCCCTCCTCGGCTTTTGTCCCTTCTCGGCGGGAGGACACGAAGCTGAGACCTCCAAAAGAAATAGCATTTTAAAGGAGGGTTTGCAAACATTCGAGGAGAGGCCGTTGCGTTCGTCGAACTAAGGGATTTGAAGGTTACAACGAGGCGATTCCAAGAATCCGGAAGGCAGAGCCGGAGGGGAGGGCTGCCACCCCCTCCCGGCAAGCCGCGCGGGGTCGCCAGCCCCTCACCTGACACAAAGCGGGGACCCGCCAGGAACGCGTGGGCGACGGCGGCCCACGCGCCGCGCGCGCCCACGCAGGAATGGGGGTCCCGGAAGCAGGAATGGGGGTCCCGGAACGTGGAGAGGCTCCCGGGCCACGGGCGCCCTGGCGCCCGCTTCCCCCCTCCCCCGCCCCCAGGCCACCTGCCCGCACCCCTGTCCCCGCGCAGGGACAGCCGTGCCCCTATCTCCATCCAGGCACCGCTTACCAACTGCTTCCGCAGCAGCAAGATATTCTCTTCCAAGAACTTCTCCTCCAGGCGGCTGCGTTGCGCCGCCTCCCCCGGCAGCTCCCCGGCGCGGGGCGCCGCGCTTCCCGCGCCCCCGGCGCCGCGCAGGGCGCCCCGGACCAGCAGCTCCTGGCGCTGGCGCAGGTACTCCAGCTCCGCCAGCCCGGCCAGCGTGGCCTCCTGCCGTTCCCGGGTGCGCTGCCGCTCCGTGTCCGCCTCGCCCTTCTCCCGCCAGCGCCCCTCGGGCTCCGCCGCGCGCTGCTCACCACGGGCCGGCGCCTGCGGCTCCAGCTCCCTCGCCGTCCCGGCCGCACTCGGCTTCATGGCCCCCACCCCTGCAGCGAGCGCCCGTCACCGCAGCCGGGCCGCCCCGGGGCGGAGGAGCGGGCGCTAGGGCTGCGGCCGGGGGCTCATGCCGCCCCGAGTCGGGGCTCAGCGACGGGGCGACCGCCAGACGCGCTCGGGACCCGCTCGCGGCCGCGGGCTGCAGCCGTCCGGGCCCGGGCGGCGCCGTCCGCTGTCGCCGCTCGTCCCTCGCCGCGGCCCCGCAGCTGATAACGCCCTGCCCGGCGCTACGTCACGCGCGGCGGCCCGGCAAGCCCCCTCCTGGCGCCCGCCTCCCCGCGCCGGCCCCTGCGCTCCGAGCCGCGCTCCCCCAGGCTTCCCCCTCTCCTGTCAGGGGCGCCGCTGGCGCTCAGCGCCGGCTCCTCCTCGCTCGGCCCTCCCCGCCCCTCGCCGTCTCCTCCCCCGCTCTTCCCGCGGGCCTCCTCGCCCCCTTTTCGGGTTTACTGCACCCAATTTTTGCCTCGCTCCTCATTGGTTCTTTCCCCTCGCACAAAGCAAGGGGCGAGCGCCTCGAGCCCCAGCATCCTGTTACAGTCGGCCTCGCAGCCAGGGTCGCGAAGGGACGCGGCCGTTGGGCTCCCCAGAGAACTTTCTGAAACTCGACCGGCTTGCAGCTCACAGCCTTAACCCTTTCCCCCCACGTCCACTGTTCGCATCCACTCACATTGATTTCGCTTTCTCTCACCTTGCCAAGCAAGGTACTGCGCGTGTGTTCAAAGACCACGTCTGTGGGCTCGGTTTCTTTGGCTCCGCTTGGCACAGCTGTGCAGGCAATAATACCAAAGCACGGTGCAATGTCGTTCTCAAACTGTCTCACTCGCAGTTCTGTTGCGGTTTTATTTTATTTTATTTTCACGAAAGGCATATAAAATTAGGCAGGAGGATGTCGCTGTAAAGCAAGCGGTTGCATCAATTCTTTTACGAGCCTGGGGTTTAATGTGCGCGCGCCCGCCCGCGCGCTTTGGTTTTTGTTTGGGCTTTTTATTGTTGTTATTTGCTATCTTGGGCAAACGCAAGAGCCCAGACTCTGAAATCAGGCTGTCTGAATGTGAATCCTGTTCCAGCCTTGACTAGATGTGCAAACAAGTTACTTCGACTCTCTATGCCTTTCTTTCCCCAACTGTAAAATGGAGCTACTAACAGAACCTGCCTGTTGTAAGAATTCTAGTAATATATACTATATAATATGTATTTGTGGGGCGGGGTGAGGGTGTGCGTTTACAATGCGGCAAGCACGTAGATAGTAAGGATTATATGAGTTGTGGCTTTTTTCCCCCTCCAGAGAGACCTATAAACTTTCCCCCGAGGTAGCATTTGTGGTATGGTCACCTCTGCTTGGGACACTGGTCACAGGGAATTTCAGTGGGATGGAGAGGTCTGGAAAGGCCGCTAGCTGGCTTGTCCATGGAAAAGCACCATTATCTATTTTAAAAGCAATACATCAAAGAGTCTCAGAAAAATCCAACAAGTCACAACCTGCTGAAGTTCAGGCAAAGTGCTGTGTGAAGGAATGCATCCTATATCATTATTTCAGGCTCTAACACCTTTGCCCAGCTGCCCTTTCTACCCTGTGTGGTCTAACCTTCCCTCCAAGATCAGTTCACTTCCCTCTTCTAAACTCTGGTTAATTGTAGGAATATCTGGTTCTTACCAAATACGGTTTGTTTGGTTATTTATCTGAGTGTGTACGCACATATCTATATATGTAGGTATTTATGTGTGTTTCTTCTCTCCAATTACGTTATAAAAGTTCCCTGAAGGCAGAGGCTGTTTTAATACCCTCTTAGTATTACCGTATTCAAAATAGTGCCTTGCAAGCATTCAACTGATGTTCTCTAGAGAATCAAGAAAATATTGACTGTAAATTTTTTCCTTAACATACTATCTAAATTAATAGCACCCATTTAATCTCTGCAACAAGTAGAATCAACCCAATATTTACTAAAAACAAAAACACAAAAAGTTCCCTTGCCACCCTCCATTGACCTCCCCATTGCCATCCCTCGCCAACATTAAAGAAACTACACTACAACCATGATTCCTAATTAACAAGGTTGTTTATTAGATCTAAAAACAGAATTACGTTCAAGCGTTCATCAGCATACGAAATCAATTCTATTCAGGTCACCTCTTCTTTATGCCAACTGTGTGCCCAACACTTTTCTCGGGAACACAGGGACTAATTTTCTTCCATAACTTCAGTAGGCACTGAGGAATAATGACAGTTCCTGCATGCCAAAGGCCACTCACCCATGTCCTCATCATTGTCTCATTCTATTAATTTCTAAGCAAGCTTCTTGCTTTCTAGCTCTGAATTAGACTTCTTTTGGCTGGGTGGAGTCTATTATTGTGGCCTGGGTTATGTCACACATTGACAACTATATTTATATAGCTGGGGGGGGGCAGGGGGAAAAAGCTGAAACATGTTTTACACCCTACTAATAAATCTTGTTAGAGCAGACAAGTCGCTATGTCTCCAAACCTCCCAACCATCCCGCCCCCCTCCCCACCAAATGCCACTTGGAGCTGGCTCATTAGTCCAAAGCAAACCATTTGCCATAACAGCTTGTACAGCTCCGTGAAAAAGTGTTCCCAGCAAGTTTAAATATTAAAACTAATGTATTCAAATGGTTCCACCAGTAAAATGGTCACAAACAGGAAAAAGAGGTTATGCTTTCCAAAGTATCCATTACACATTAATAAATAATGCTGTTCATTCACATGCCAATTAAAACAAACTTGGGCTGTCAAGTGAAATTAGAAGCAAGGAGCTCAATGCTGTAATTGTTTTGTTTGTGTGCGTGAGTTTTGGGGGCTTTCCTGTTTTGTTTTGTTTTTTTTCTGAAAACGCCCAATGTCATCAGATTAAGCGTGACTAGCTGGGTTGCCCCTCTTCTCTTCCAAACACCCGAAGTTTCTCCTCTCCAGTCTAGTCCTGGCTTTTCTTTCCTCTTTGATTCTTTGTTTTGGTGGCAGGTATTCCGGAGGCGGTTGAAGGTAATCACCCAGGGCTCACAGCTCCCTTCTGTTGCCAAAAGGATCTCACTTCCTCCTGCTGTTTTGATTTTTCTTTCTCTGCTTTTTAAAGCAGGTGCTGGTACTTCTTTCTCCACGAATGCTACTTTGTTATCTCTCCTTTCCAGTACTGGGCAGCCCTAGTTAGTTCTTTTGTTTAGGCGCCCCACCCAAGCCTCAGTTTCTCAGAAAAGCTGTTAGTCTCCACTCAGCCTGGCACTCAAGATGGAGTGGATCCGACGCCTGGGGGACCTGGGGGGTAAGATTAAAATTGCTAACATGAAAAGTCTTGACTCAGTATGTCGTAGTTGGGTAGTTTATGCTTCGAGATATTTCCTGGGCACAGCCAGGAAGGGTCCCTCAGATCACACAGTCTGACCCTTTGCCCTTGGGCAGAACCCTCCCACCGGCACCCCCACCAAAGTCTGAGAATCCCTCTACAAACGCCTGATCCAGCAGTGAACATTCTACTGCAGCCGGGCAAAATAAGGAGCATCAATTGCACGTTTTGCTCTCGAGCAAAACAACAAAATGATGCCTTGCAGCTTTTATGGCCAAACAAACACAAATGATGTAATTGGGAAAAGCTGTCTCCAAATAGAAGGGAAAAAAATAAAGGGCAATCCTTTGAGTTGGGGTGATGACCACCATTCGAGGGTCTGGGATCAAAGCTCCAGCCAGACATCAAAGCCCATTTGAGTCTAATGCCAAAAGAGCCACAGTGAATTAAACTTCATATATAAACTAATTATAGCTTGACCCCACAATCAGGCTTCAGTGAGCACTTAGGGGAAAGAAAGCAGACATTGAAACAAAAGATCAAGAAAAAGGAAAAGTTGGTAGCAAAACTGGGCAACATCATGGCCCTGAACACTTTAAAACTCTTTTTGAGGGCAGAGGGGAACCAAGGAATGGTGGTGGAAACAGCAGACTTTTGACAATGCTGGTCTTGTTTGCAAGGCTGTGAAATAGCTCTTTCCACCCTCACTGACTCGTGCACAACCACACACTTCCTTATTCCTGGAAGAAAAGGTTATCTGTTAACTGTTTTAGCATTGTGATGAAGGTTCCCTGTCACCAGGTTTCTGTTGAAGCAGCACTAGATGATTCCATGAAGTTTGGGGGTGAGTTCTTCAGAAAGCTCAGCTTCCTATACTGCATGCCCTAAGTTCCAAACACTCGCTGTGGGAGTAACTTGCATTCCCCCACGGTCTTCATCACTGAGGTCTCCACCAACCTCAGACTTGAGTCCCTTACCTCCGCCATTTACAGATGGAAGGTGGTACGTAACCACGTGTGCAAATACCCTAGAGCATGGCCTTTACTAATACCATGAAACGACTTCATTCACAGGCAAAATTTAAACGTGTTTCAGAGACAAGTGGTCACTTTAAAGAATTGTATTTGGTGGGTTTTGCCCTTACTCTGCTGTATTGGGACGGGTACATAATTATCTGAAATTCTCCATCTCCTGAACTAACAAACTATTACACATATAATTTTGTAATCCGCAGAACATTTTCAAACGTTTTTATTTGTAGATAAGCACTAGTGATTTCTTAAAGTAACAAAATCTAATTACAGCCCGAGTCTCTTTCATGAGAGAAAAACATTTTGAAGCAGGCATTCCCATAAGATAAAAACAAATACATACCATATTCACTACCTTGTACCTCTTTAAGTAATCACTCATTTATTCAACAGATATGTATTCCTAATACATGACAGGCACTGGGGATACAGCGGTGAACAGACAGACATAATCCCTACCTTCATGAAGTTTATGGTCGAGGATTTTAACTGGCAGTAATTAAATAATACATACATATATGTACATATACATACATATATGTATGTATATATACATAATATATACATATTCAAATATATACATATTTCCATGTATATTTTCAAATATATGTATTTCTAAATTTCCAAATGTATATATATATATACATAAAATTCCAAAATGTGAAACAACTACCTCAGTCAGCAAAGTAATATTTTCAAAGCAGACATATGCCATAATTATATCCAAAAAGTCACACTCAAGTAAAATCACAAAAAAATCATGACATTTATAAAAATTGTTTTTTACAGGGAGAGGGATCTTATATTTTACTTTTTATTGTCTTTT